TTTTAGAAAATCTGAATATTTTGCGGCAGAGAACTTTGCAGTGGGATAGATCTATATGGCAAAACATACCATCATCACAACGGCCTCCGTCCCAAAACAAAGAAAGGCACATTTTCTGACCGTACACAATAAATAATAAGAATAGTATGTGTATTATTGATCTACTTCGATCTATTCCCAGCAATAGTAAGAGTGTACATGTTATTTTTACTTATCTGCCAACAGAAAATGCATCAAAACAGAATGTAATGTATTACTAATCATAACTTTGTTATGATTTTCGAGACAAAAGGTACGATCCACACGAGTCAAGTGGAGGAAATGCAAAATTGACCATTCCACTACGAATAGAGAAGAGTGTATGTATTACTAATCTTTATTATCTTACTCTTTTCCCGAGAAAACAAGACATTATGCATACGTGGTAAAAGAAAGGTGGGATTGATCATGCGTGTACACAAGACAGAGAGTAATAAATAACATAAATAGTTATTACAGTTAGAAGAAAACTGTAATAGCTAAGCGAACCGTCACCATCACAGTAGGTAATATTATTTTCAAATACAATCAAGAAGAAAATGGAGGAACACGTAGGTCCATCAACACATAACAACAGCAAACTGCCACCTACGGCTAGCATACCACTCCCAGTTATTACTAGCATTGATGCGTTAACATCAGCTGATGTCAGAGCAGCACGAACATCAATGGTAGGGACAACAACACCGGACATTAACACAGGAGCACTTGCAGCACCATCAACAACAGTAGTAGTTGATCGTAATAAAGTGAACCTTGAATCGCATCAATTGGTCTGGTTAGATGCAAATGTGAACAATAGTGAACATGAGGATACGACAGTGACGTTGGCTGGTTTACGTAAAATCATTGATTACACAAAATTATTTGATAATATTTCGGAATGCAAAGAATATCTGAAAAGTACCGAAAATGGATCAACGTTTTTGGTTACATCAGGATCATTTGGACAAACATTTGTACCTGAAATTCATGAAGTGGAAATCATTTATAAAATTTATGTCTACTGCGGAAATAAAGAATTCCATCAAAAATGGGCATCGAAATATTCAAAGGTATGTCTTATCCCTGTTCTGTTTGAATAGAGTTAATGTATTTCATTGTCACAAATAGACTAAAAATCGAATTCATATCAAACTCGATGAATTACTCAATGATTTAACAAATGATGTTAGAGAATATTTAAAATCGGAAATAGCCGGTACTATTATGAATCTATCGGGAAAGGAAGATCAAACCACAGATGTATTTTGTTCGTGGTGGACACACACCTTCGATCTCTTATGTTGTTTGCCTTATCCAATGGACTGTCACCAAAAACTTGTAGATACATTGAAATCATATTATGAAGGCAAAGAAAACGAAATGAAAGTTATACGCGAATTTGAAATCAGTTATGAACCAAAACATGCTATCTGGTGGTATACGCGTCCAACATTTTTCTATGCTATACTGAACAGAAGCCTTCGTCAACACAACATTGAACTAATATTTTTATTTGGTTTCTATATAAAAGATGTGTATTATCAATTGAAAGATGAACATGAAAAACTGAAACTAAAACATTTGAAAGAACCAAAGATAAAATTGTATCGTGGACAACTCATGGCAATGAATGAAATTAAAAAATTGAAAGAAATCGATGGTCCCAACTACATTGTAAATAGTTGTCTGCTATCAACATCACTCAATCGTTCGGTATCGTTAGAATTTCTCAAATCAGCTGAAAAAAGTGAAGGATTGGAACATGTATTCTTTGAAATTGATATTGACACTCGTAAACTGGCACGGCCCTATGGTAATATATCACATTTAAGTTATGTCACAGCCGAAGCTGAAATTTTATTCATGATTGGTGTAATATTTCGTATAACAAAAGGTAATGTAACGTACAATAACGACGACAAAGTTTGGATCATTAAATGTTCTTCATCATTCGATTCTATCTTAGACTTTGAAAGTGCATTTAGTACAGGTAGCCAAAGGCGCATTTTAAAAAACTCTATCAATAAATTTTGGCACAATTCTACAAAAATGCCTACTCGTAAGTCTGAAGATGTTAATATGCTATTTAATGAATTGATTAAATTATTTCCATTGGAAGAAGACTGGATATTATCTTATAAACTTTGCTGTCTGGCCGATATTGATATGTGGCATGAAAAGTCCACTTCAGCACTATCACAGTATGATGAAGCAATAAATATTTGGCTCAATTACCTGAAAGATGATGAGTTAAATTGTTCAATTGATATTGGTGAAATTCATAAAGACATTGGTACAGTTTATCAAATTTACACAGATGATACTAATCGAGCTGAGGAACATTATAAAATGTCATTTTCTTACTTACAGTCAGCAATTGAACGTAGTACTACAGAACAGGAAAAAATAGATATATTAGTTAAACTTATATCGATTGTTATCGAATGTGAGCTTTATGAATCGCTTGATAAATACGATGATGCATTAATATATTATGAAAAAGCATTTGAAGCAGCAGTAAAATCAAAAGACTCTAGATGGATTGAAATCGCGTGTGATAATATGATTGAAACTTATATTAAACATAAAAATGATTACCAATCTGCGCTTAAATATCAATTAATAAGACATGAACATATATTGAAGGACAATACACCACAAATATGGGATGATATCGACGAAACTTCGTGTAAAAAAGCAGAAATAGCTGACAGTCATATTAGACTAGCTGAAAGCTATATTTTATTAGATCAATATGATTTGGTTAAATTACATTTAACAACAGCTAAAGAGTTGTATGAAGAATCGGGAAAAGATGGTAGACGACACCTTTCACGGACTACGGAGAAGTTAGCTGATATTGAAGCAAAATTAAAGGAATATGGTTTAGCACACGAACATTTCAATATGGCATTGAAATTACATCAAGACCTTCTCAGAGAATACGAAGGAAAGCTGAACAATGAAGCGGCCAACAGCACCGGAAAAGAATATCACCCATGGGCAAATGCCGATT